TCAGGTGGGTGTCCCTCAAGGATCAGTGCTGGGCACACTGGTATTCTTAATTTATATCGATGATCTCGATTTACAACATCCACATCTATTTTTATAAATAAAGAATTGGAACAATGTACAAATCTAAGCCTATAAATTTGCAGGGGCTTGACCTAGGAACAGCACATAATTCCAGATATATACTTGCTGATACAATTTAACACTGAGGCACTATTCCTCTTCTCATTTCCTAAATGTGAGCTGAGCTGAGGCGTAGGTAGAGTAGTCTAAAAATTTAAAGAACTGTAAGAGGGCGGCATATTCAGAAACAACCACTGGAGATTCGTGGAAGAGCTCGGTAATACTCAAAAAACAATCAGTTACTAACCAATTGCAGTGAAAGTCGCCTACTCTGACAATTCACATGCGAAAGCATTATTTGAAGTAACACAGATCTGAACATTAATATTTTAAATAAACGGTTGTTTGGTACAAATACAAATAAACACTTTTAACTTGGCATAAATAAAGCTGATAATCTTTTTACTTTTAATTTGATAAAATATTACCGATACAAAAATACATGAGAAGTATCCAGAATTAGTCACTTTCTGTAAATATATATACAAACTTAAAAAATATTTACATTCATTATCAAACATGTTTAACACAATTAATAGATGGTCTGCTACTATCTAAAATATGTTCTTTTATGAATCAGAAGGTTAATTTAAAATTAGTGTCATAATTTATCACAGCAATCGAGGAATTTTTTATTTTACTTCGAATAGTTTTAATTTTTTCACAGAATTATACGAGTACAATTTTATGAAACATTAATGCTAGTTAAGGACAGAAGTAATCTTTTCTATATTCTTTAATAAAGGAACACCATCGATAAAATGGGTAACATACATTTGTCTATATTAATCAAATATAGGACTCGTTAACTTTTAGATGATAAAAGTACTGATCCGACATTGTGCTACAAGGTGCATTCTCCAAAAGCTTAATGCAAATCTGTGGCTTTAGTTCACAAGAACTTCAACCAATATTGGTCAATGTAATTGTGATGTTATACCCTTCCCCTTCTCTAATCAGTAGTACCTAATAAGTTTATAAGAGAGCGAAACAGGTCTACTGCTAACTATTGCTAAAGTATGTATATACAGAAATAGTGTGTGGATATCTTTAAACTGTACCACACCCTCAACACCCACACACTCAAATGAAATCCACCGTACATTCTATATGAGTAATTTTAGTCTTTAAAGATACCAATAGATGTCACATTTCCAGAAGTCTGCTACCAATACAATTCATCGATTATTTTGGCCAGCGTGCATCCCGAGACTTTGGCAACCTAAAAACAAACATATGCGACGAAATAGCCAACATTGCGGCTGAAACATTGAAGAAAATACCATAGAACGGACCCATCACTCATGGACGCTGTCTCATAAGGGCAAGGAGGGCGGTCGCCCCCTAGATTATTGGGTTCCTTGAGATACGATGTTTTGATTATTTTCTATGCTGTTGCAAAAATAAATAGGTTTTTGCTGTTTTGTGTAATATTTCCTTTTGGTAACTTGCACGAAAATATATATGATTCAGGTAGGATTTGTAATATTTTCAAACCTAATACCTAGTGAGGTTTCCCTTTGAATTTTTTTCTTACGAAAAAAATTTTGCTCCCTTGAAATTTTTTCTACCGGCGCCGATGTGTCACTGCAGCGCTAAAAGTGACTAAAATACTCGGTGGTACTATACTCGAATCGCATTTCGCCAACCAAGTTGGCACCATCGGGACACGATTTAAACTTGATTTAATTTTTGTGGAAATTACTATTACCATTTTTTTTAAATAAATCTAGTTACCGCCAACTCTCGACGATTAATGTTTTTTATTTTCTGTTCGAGTTGTTGCTGGTTGATATTTAATCGATACGAGCACGAATTTAAAAAGTGAAAAGCGCAGCGACTCGAACGACAATAAATTGTTCCCAGGAAAAGTAAAATAACCACCGAAATATAATTTATGGCTGGATTTCCTGCACTAAGACTGTAATATACGTGTGACGTTTATTTATGTGAATTTTCGGCTTAAAATAAACAAAGCAAGTAAATTTCTTCTCGTTATTTCCGTGCCAGGGTATATTATGTGGACAGAAATAAACACGATCGAATCTGACCTAAATTTAAATTAAGTAATCTCATGGAAATCAAATTTATGCAAATCTTGTCAAAATATTTATCGATCGGTAATTGTAAAACATAGAGGAGCAATATGTAATTATTTTACCACATGCAAATAATAAACACATTTCATAAAAAAAAAACGTGGCCATCTGGTCTACTTCTTCACTCTTCTTGTTCTACTGATTGTCTTAATCAATTATTTCAGGAATAAATATTTTACCATTCAAACTAACGACGCCAAAAAGTGAACTTCGAAAGGTGTACCACAAGGTTCTACTTTGGATCCTCTCTTATGTAAGGTAGGATGTAATTCTGACTAATGACTCTAACCAAATTATAAATTATTGATAATATATTTTTCCGATGATAAATGTCTTGTTAAACAACCGCGGGGTCGAAAAAAACGTGGGCAAGGGGATGAAAAAACGTGGACACACAACAATTCCCAAAGACATTGCCAGTGCCGGCCCAGATAACATTCTGAGTCATAATTATTGACCAATATGCCCAATTAGTCATGTAATGGTCGTAAAAACAGTTTTAATGACTGTAGGTCGCCTAAGGGTCGTTATAAGGTTATATCTACGATTATCAAAACTCCTTTTCGTATGAAGGTCATATGGTACGCATATGATGACTAATTGGACGATAAAAGTGGATGGCCTTCAGGCGGTCGTTGTCATTCTGCAATACAACCCTTAACATTACTTAAGGAATATTGTTGTATAAGAGTCATTAAAAAAATAATATGACTTGATTATTACCTTGTAGAAAAATAGTTATACAAAGGTCGGTAAAAAACGTGATAAGACCTCAATAGGACTTTGAGACAAAATAGTACCTAAAATTGAAGGAAGTTGTAAAAGAAGTTATATTAATTTTCAATACGACCTCCATACAACCATAGATGAAAATATGGCGTCCAAAAATTGATACCAGTAACAGAGGTTATATCAATATATTGAGAACGGCCTCGATACGATCTATGAACAGAAATATGGCGTTCCAAAAAATGGTAGTCGTAACAAAGGTTGATTACGACCTCGGTACGATTCATGAATCATTAATAAAGATTGACCAATTTTTTGCTGTCAAGCTTAATCTATGAATAAAAGTACGAGAATGGACATTTCTTACAAAGTTTAAAGATGAGTTTCTCCTCACTTTTTTTCAAACCCCCTAAGCCCAACCAATAAGTTTTTAGATAAATGTAAGTAATAAAAATTATAACCAACGATTATTTTCTTTTTGGGAGTGTGCTTATCTGCTTTTTTTTTTTTTTTTTTCACCACAAAATATACGCGAGTCACCGTCGCAGATTTAGAAATAAGATTCAAAGGTAGTTTAAAGCATGCAAAATGACAATATAGTCATATTAAATAACAGTTAAGTCACGTTAACGGTGTGAACACGCTATTGGGCAGCCGGTCATATTACATCCATATGAATAAGACTCTATGATTGTTTCAAAAACATAAAACGACCAGAGTAATTTAAAAACAGTCTACAATAACGCAGTTGCTTAGTGCTAACCAACTATTCCACCTAGCCGGAGGATAAGACTACATATTTCAATACATTTACACCAGACAACCTTTCTAGATATTGGCAACAAAAATTCAAATAAATTCTTATTGAGAACAGATTCTTTTAGAGCAATATTCAAGGTCAAAATACTGATTTATTGGTGTGATGAGTCTTTCCACTCATACGACCTGTGTATCTGAGACGTGTGTACGTAAAGATCCCTACTTCACGACAAAGAAGGGTTCGACAAAATTTCTAGTGTTTACATAGGCACTGACGAACTTATCTCTCGGCGTTGGTAATTGGCCTTTGATGCAGCTGTTTAATAAACGATTAAAAATATATGATATAAGTTGTTTAAAAAATTTCTCGTCTCAACTACGGGAACAAACTGAAAAATATTTTTTTTAGGAAAAACAAATCAGCGATATCAGCAAACAACTAACTGTTTATATTTCTTTGAAATATGCGGAATTTAAGAAAAACAAATAAAAATATACGACAATAGGTACGTTCTTTGTCTTTCTAACTGATATCTCAGCTAATCTAAGTTGTTTTACGGTTACACTGCATAAATAAAAGCATAATTTCATTTGATGTAGCCTCCGTAACCGTAAAACAACTTAGATTAACTGAGATCTCAGTTAGAAAGAACGCACCTAATGTAAGTCTGTTGACAATTTAATTATAAGGATGTGGTGAAATGTGAGAAATTAAATAAACATTCAAGTAGCACGGACCATTTCATCTTAAACATTTCTCTACAGAAAGCAAATATTGACTGAAAAAAGTTAGAGAGTGAGCCAACTAAGCATATTGCGGGATGTATGTGATTATAGGGCTTATCTTTCAAGTTAAAAAGTGTAATATAGAAATTTCCATAAAAATTTCTTAACATTTACAAAAGATATGGAAATTTTACATCTAACATAAAATATATAGTTGTAAAATTTCCGAAATGTTAGTAATTTCTCCAAAATTTGACATCATTATTAAAAACGCTACACTTTTACTGTCACGAACAAATTGATACTAATTGTGAAACGAAACATAAAAAAAAATTTCATAAATTATTCCAAAATCAAGATATTCACAAAAACCTGAACATATTTCAAGTACTACTACATTTACCAAATTAATAGTGTAACCGACAACACCACAGGTAATACAACCCCCTGTATCCCTGAGGGTACCTCAAAATATCTTATGTGGAAGAGGGCTACACATTTAGAGACAATGGACACACACCCAATGTCCGAGTATGCTAGGATTAATTTCTAGTTTAGAAAAAATCCTAGCTCCTCGACTACGGGGATCGAACTCGCGACTCCAGGGTGAGAGACAAGTGCCCTTACCACTCGACCACGAAGCCACTTACAACCTTTTCCAACATTTTAATAATGAAATTTCAATCATTAATATCCATTAATACCAAGTTTTTATTTCTCTTGAATACCTGGACGAAGAGACAGACACGACACAACGAAAGTTAAAAAGTTACGTATATTGAAACAACTTATTAATGGAAATGGTTATTCGCGTCGACATAGAATGTCTCAAAAGGCGGCAGCGCAGCGGTCCTTTCTTTCCATTTTGTGTTTCAGACGGAGGCTTATCTGCCAAATCTATGCCTTGGCAAGCGTCTATGCCCGTGACCTAGGGAGAAATAATACAACACCTTTTCGTGAGAGAACGAGTTAATTGCTACTTGTAACGAGATTTAACAAAAATATAATTACGAAGAATTGAATAAAATCAAGTTTTACTTTGTACAATCTACAAAAAAGTGTATTTCACAAAATAAATTCTTGGATATACATAAAAAGGTGCGTCAGATGTACAAGGTGAACCAAATGTGATGGATTGGGAGTTTTCGGGTATAAGGTGTCAAATTAATTGTCATATATAATTATATTTGCAAAACAAAACTAACATATTCAATTTATGAACAATTTAAACAAACTAGAAGAGAAAATCGAATGGTCGAACACGGACCTACGTGCAATGTACAATCTCACCGCTAAAATCAAAATATCCACTAATTTAGGAATTGTAAAATTCATTTCTAACGGTACGAAACTCATATCAACTGCATAAACTATTGATAGAACTAAGGCAGGTAGAAATCTAATGGATTTAAGTCTGGAGATTTTGGCGGATAAGCTATTCGACTTTCTTATTGTTGTCATAGTAGATCTTTTTACTGGCAAGGAAATGAACTTTTTCATGTCATACAAATGTGAAGCATGAACAATTGTACGAATTTCAGATGTGCACCAGTTACATTTGTAGGTAAAAATTAATTGAGAAACATTTGGAAGCAACATTACTTGCACAGTTTTATAACTATTATAGTGATGATTAATTGGCATTTTAACCATCTCCTGATAATGCTAACTTGGTTGCCAATTCACGATCATATGTAGATGTTTGTAAAAATTATCAAAGTGTTAGCGTTACACAAAACAGTCTAACCCTCTTCAAAATGTATGTAACGTCCATTTTCAAGCAGTTCGCCGCAACCTAACCTTGAGCATAACAGCAATCAACAAAATTAGGCATAAAGGTGCGCCCAGATCAAGCGCGCAACTAATTAACAAGTGAATACCGGAGTCATGTTCACATAAAAAAACATGCTCAAAAATATATTTACCGGTATCCCTTTCAGTTATATACACGACTTATGGGGCACACAACGACTCGACGTTGTAATTGGTCAGATGAATATTGCACAGTCCTGAGAGAATTTCCTGCGGCTATTTCAACTAAAAGAGCGCCAAAGATATACCGGCCATTAATATCTCATGCGGCACTTTTATTTTCGTCGGTATTGATTTGGGTGGTTTACTCTATTTTGAATTTGACTTCGGGCAACAATCGAACGCAGGTCAATAACTTTGCTAATAGGCTGTTCGGCTAGAAAAATTAATCATCTATAAATTTAATGGACATTAGATATGAAATTTAGCAAGTTGTAGTTTCGTTAACTTGAAAACTGTTTAAAACTGTTTAAATATAACAACTGTTTAAAATACTGATTAAAATACATAAAACGTTTATTAATATACTAATGTTGCTAATTAATTTAATTATTTGAATTTAAAAATTTACCTACATGCACAGGGTGTTACAAATTGTTTCACCTTGGCTACTTCTCCAACTTTTAAATCAGATAGAGAAAAACATACCAAGGTGTGTGTGTGTAGATCTCGATAAAATCGCATTTCGATATTTCTAACCGCTTTGTTTTCGAAAGTGTCAACTTTTTTATTTGATTATTTTTCAAGCAGTAAAAACTTTCTATAAGCACTTTCCAACACAGAATAAGTGTAGTGTGGTACACAGGGCATGCGTGGCTGCGCGGGGTTGTAGGGACATAAACCTTTCATATAGTAATGAGACGCATGTCTCGGTCTCACTCATGGCTTGTATTCGTGGAATAATATGTATAGCATTGTATCGTGGTATTATGATCTTCAGCAATAGTAGTGTGTATCCCAATACTGAATAAATACGTTAATGAAAGTTAACTTGTTCATTATTTAATTGTGGTATCAAGACATTACAATAAGTATCAGTACAGAATTCACAGACAAATCACAGTAAAGGCTTTGTTATTAAGTTCAGATAAGTTCGAAGCTACGAGGCAAAAAAGAATATCAGCATATATATCAGCATACACCGTGTGGCAAGAGCTTCTGCAATATGTATTTTGTACATATGCGCACTTTCCTACGCAGCCCAACCAACCAGCCTTATCAGCGAGTCAGGTGGGCACGTGATAACATATTAACTAGCCTCCCCCCGCCTCGAGTTTCTCAGTCTGCAGTTGGGGAACATGTTGAAGGCAGCTTTTTATTATGCTGAATATTTACAACTAATAAAAGCTGTGATACTATAGTTCAATCTACACGAGGCTGTAGCTATTAAGGAAAGCCAGACAAAATTCAAAGATGTTTCTGTTGAAACAGCTTTAAAAACTATCTACAAGAACTATAAAGGATTACATGACTCGAAGTCACTGCAAATAGTGGACGAAGTAAATCGACTGCTACACTCTATAGGTGACACAAAAAATGACCCCGTTGTGAAAAAAGTTCGCTTGTGTGTTAAAGCAAGACACCGGTTTTACTAGATTAAAACATATTTGTGATGGTACTGATGGTGCATCTGCATATCCGTTAAGTGAGTTCAAAGACTATTTTATGTATGCTTGTATCAATACATGTCGAATGGTCGTTTTAAAAATATAAGCAAATTTTTTCACCACATCGAACATAACTCTCGGAGACAATCATAGAAACATACATGATGCCGCAAAGTTTTTACAGATTTTTCCAGTTTTTGATAAGCAAGCTAGTTAAGAGGGTAAGTTGTTATAAATTCTAACAGTTTATTGCTAGTTAATTTCTTTTATTACATTTATTATGATGCGTACGCCTATATCCTGCGGCGCATTTTTGCCAACTCTACTCATAACTATAGAACGATAGGTTGGAAATACCGCAGGGAATCGTATCAGGGCCTCTGATAATTTTATTATGTGTAAATGATATACAGCATCATACTAAATATAGAAGAGTATTTTTTTATGCGGACAACCTCTCAGTTATGTTTCTGGACTTTCATATCTTCTCTTTAAACAAAATAGGCGACAATTTATGATTTTTAAACAACATCGTTGCAAATATTTTGGGGAAAGGATTATTGACCTCAATGGTGCCACAATCAAAAAAAATTCTTTCAGATTCCTAAAGCCATACATAAATTTTAGCTTCTTTCTTACTTTTGTGGTTGGAGGTTGCATTTAACTTTAGGTGCAATATTAAGTTTTTTTACATTAATCTTTGTTTATTTGTATTAAAATTAATACATTTTTTGAAAATTGGTTATTGATTCTTCAAAATCTCCATAGCATCTGCACCTTTCATAATGATTAAATATACAGTGAGCACGTAAAGGTTGGAATAAATTCCGTAAAATCGTTACAAAGCAAGTGACAAAAATTCGCTCAGACACGTCGATTTTTAAATTCATTTCTTAATTTGTTTATTTAAAAAAAAAATTTTTACATACTTTTTTTTAAAAAGTTATGACGTCATCGGCAATTTTTTTAAATGCCAACCCCCATTTTTAAAAATTTCATTTGAAAGAGCACATTTTTCTGCATACAGTACGCTAAATTCTAAGGCATGTTGCACGACGAAATTATCGAAAAAAAAATCTTAACTACTTTTAACAGTTTAATAAAACAGAAATACAAGAAATAAAAAATCCAGCAAAAAATAATTAAATTAAATGTTCAAATTGCGTACCATCTACTTCCTGACAATGCCCAAGACGAAATTCAAATTCTCGCAAAACGTTAGTAATTGTTTCGGGTCCAATTCTGCCACATTCGTACCTAATTCTGTCTTTTAAGTCCTCAATGTTATTCGGTCTATTAAAATACACTTTGGATTTAAGGTAACCCCATAAAAATAATCCAATGGAGTTAGGTCCGGAGATCTAGCTGGCCATTCTAATGAACCGCGTCTATCAATCCATCTGTTTGGGAAAATTTCGCTTAAATAATTACGCACTATTACCGAATAATGCGGTGGTGCGCCATCTTGTTGAAACCATATGGAGTTCTCCGGTACATTAGAGTTTTCGCCATTTGGATACAGTGCGGCAAGTCCCAGTATTATGTTTTGTTGGAGCAACTCCAAATATTTTACACCATTTAATGACCCGTCAATAAAAAATGGACCCAAAATTGTAGTCCCAACAATTCCAGCCTACACGTTTACTTTCTGTGGAAACTGGGTATGTCCCTCCATCATCCAGTGTGGATTTTCATGTGACCAATATCGACAATTTTGCCTATTTACAGCGCCATTTAAGCAGAAGGTGGCCTCATCAGAGAAAAGTACTCGACTTAAGAAATGTGGATTGGTATTACATCGTTCCATCATGGTTTCGCAAAACTGTACTCTGCGGTCGAAATCATCTTCGTTAAGCTCGTGAACTAAGTTACTTTATATGGGTACCATTTATTCTTTTTCAAATATTTTAAAACAGTCGACTGACTAATTGACTGCTCTGCTGCGACTTGGTTTGTAAGGATTGTCCTCCATTGTCAGTAAAACATCTAACTGTTTATTTTCTGAAATTGCAGGACGACCTCTCGTATAATTATCTCTTACATGACCACACTCTTGGAACTTATTTTCTATTTTGCTAACAGTTGATTGTGTAATCGGTCGATCAGGGTATTTATCGTTAAATAATTCAGTAACCCGAGTTTGTGTTCGGGACATCTCTCTACAACCAATTATCACCAAACTCTCAATTCGCTGTCTCTCACTTAAACGTTCCATTATTAAAACT